CACACACACACACACACACACACACACACACACACACACACACACACACACACACACACACACGCACGCACGCACGCACGCACGCACGCGCACACGCACGCGCACACGCACGCGCACACGCACACGCACACGCACGCACACACGCACACGCACACGCACGCACACACACACACACACACACAATTATATATATTCAGTTTCCAGGCCGTGTTACTGGGCTATCGTTTAAAGGCACTTTGAAGTGAAATGGAATCAATTAAGGCAAACAATTTTTTGTTCTTTACTGTGGTTAATTTCGCCATCATAGGTTAGACGATCCAATGGAGGTCGAAGTTTTAAAATGGAATTTGATGGAGACACTCGTGCACATGAACGTAGGCCCGACGTCATGGATTTATAATTTTCTCCTATTCTTGCCACATTCACTCCATAATGTTTCCTTAAACTTTGTTCGCTGGCTACCCATAGATGCATATGTAGCTAATTTTTACCAATCAATAACTACTTAAGCCTTAGTAGACATTGCCAAAATTCATGATGCCACAGAGAATTAGTGAGGGGACTTGAAGCTGACGTCGCCCCATTCATTTCTTATTTGTGTGTTTTATGTATTCCCGCAACGAGAATTGCACCTTTGTTATTCTGAAAGGGTACTACACTATTGTGACGAAAATTCATTTTCTCCTCAGTAAACAGCTATAGTTTACTGTTAGCGTAAAAGTGGGGCTTAAGAGAATGACGTTATCGTCCAGCAAACACTCGTTGCGGACAGCATCTTATAGTTTAGCGGGATATTGGTTACGTGGTTTACGTGCTCTAGCTGGGATGATGGCACCTTCCATCGTAGAATTGATAAGTTAAAGAACAGTGAAAAAAAAAAGAAAACGAGAATGTTTGCTTGTGTCATCGCGCGAAGCATTGTTACAAGTTTATTTTATTAATAATAAAAGTAAAGAAGTACGAACCACGCACAAAATGCAAAAAAAAAACATTTATGTTGCCGATTTGTCTAATCGATCTTCTGGGTAATTGATTGATATGTGGGGTTTAACGTCCCAAAACCACTATATTATTATGAGAGACGCCGTAGTGGAGGGCTCCGGAAACTTAGACCACCTGGCGTTCTTTAGATCTTCTGGTTAGGCCTAGAGACGTTCTAAATGGGAAGCTATGTCAAAAATTACGCTAGCTTATCCGTGATACTCGGTCATCTAATCTAACTGAAGGCAAGTGAAGCCATTTTTAACAGTAGTTTGCTGCGAACGAAGTGAATTTTTCAAAAACTACGCCGAAATCACTTCGCAGCCGCTGTACGAAATTGCCGCCATGTTTACGTGCTCTACGCACAGCATGCTAACACGGTGACGTTAAACGGGCCCTGAAACACTTTTTGACGTAACCGTCACGGTAACGAATTTACTGGAAGAGCTTATTGCCTCAGTATTTCAACGCCACAAATATTTTAAGAATCCGTCCAGTGCAAGTGGAGTTACAAAAATTTGTCGCATGCTGCAATTACACTCTCTTCTCTCGTCCCGATGAAAGTGCTGGAAGCTATCAGGGAGGGGTGGCAGGCGCAACGAAAATACGTCACGCGCGTCTCGTTTCATTGAGCACTTTTTTCATCGAATACGCGACTTTTTCAGTGTGCTCCCACGCGCACGCGTGGACAGTAGCGGCCTCCCACGGGTATCTCTGTAACGACGGAGCACGCCATGTTCAAATCAACCAATGGCTGTTAGATGGGATTTTTAGGAGACATCTTTGAGCGTCTTATTTCATTTGTCGAGAGAAGAGAAAACAGTTTTCAGCTGACTTTGATAATTTTTTGTGAATTCCTGGGGGAGGGGGTGAAGTGATTTTAAAATAAAAGAAGAGAAAAGTGAGCCCCGTAACTGTCTCTCAGGGGGAGGACAACTCAACAGTAGCTCCCGAGGGGTGGGGGAAAAGGAGGGATTAAAAGGATAGGATTCAAAGGTAACGAAATAGAGAGAGAGGAAGGAGAGAGCGAGGTGGAGGAGCAGCGAACAATGGAAGTAAGGAGAAGATGGGAAAGATGGAGACAGTCGCAGGAGTCCGAGGACGGGGCCCCACTAGCGAGAGCTCTTGTCGGCGACAGGAGATGGCGGAGGGCTAATCCAAGCGGCCAGAGCTACGCTGTCGTCGTTGTCGGGGACCGGCGTTAGGAGGTGACGTGGGACTAACCCAGTCGGCCAGAGCTGACCTGTCGTCGGAGACCGCGAGGGCCCAACCAGTCAGCACGGAATCCAGCAAGCGAGTGTGAATCCCAGGCCGCGTGCTGCGCCATAATACTCGGCTCGCGTGTTTTCGAGAGCCTTTACTACCGATCGGCGGCGTTTTTGACCGCGCTAAAAAAGTGTTACAGGGCCCCTTTAAATCTGAAAAATAGCGCGCGTAGGGTAAGTTTTACCACGGCTAACGTACGTATCTGCGCATGCGCACTTCGATGCCGCTATCACGGTAAGCCCGTTATACTATAACTTTCTGCCGTATAATGTCCCTAAGAGCGCACAGCACGCGGAATTTCAGAATGGTCAGAGAATTTTTCACTTTTTTATTGAATGGCTAGAGCCTAATTTCCAAGCTTAGAAATAATTTTTTTATTCATTGATTACTTGAACATTGCAAAACTACACGTAGAGCCTCCATTTAGCAAATAATTACGATAGACTCGCAAAAGTAGTCCTTGTGGCAACAAACATGCAGGATCACGTGTACAAAGTCTACTTTGTCTTGTATGCATGGAACTCTTTGTTTCATAACTGAATATACTGAGCTAGAGGTATCTACGCACTCGAGTTATTCGAATTACACGCACACGCGCGCACGAATTGTTTCTGTAAATTCGCGTGGAAGCTTTGAGTGCCTTACTTCTTATCGTCGCAAGCTATTTCGTGTAAAATGCTGAGTAATCCTGCTTGCTGATGGAGCGTGAGGTGTTTTTTTTTTTCGTACCATTTCATGCTAAAGGCATTCCAAGAAGCGCGAAGTTTGCCACATCGGAATACGTAAGGAGCATGTTCGATGGACATTCAACTCGTACAAAATCAGATTCTAAAGCCGGTCGTCTTTTCCATCCTTATCTTCAGACACAATAACACGTGTGCATATGCAGCGGTTTAATGGTGATACCTTATTTTATATTGAGAATCGTGCCGAATGTTTTATTTCAGGGATAAAAAAGTGACGAAACTTGTCACGCGCAAGATGGTTTAGTAAAAGAAAAGCAGTTTTTGTGTTGGAACTACCTTCTTATTCTTTTTCTCTCTCTGTCTGTAAGCTTGTACGGGTTGGTCGCAGTGGCGAATAATTTCTACGCTCTTCCAACCACTCTCTATACGAAGTGCCATGCGTCCACATAGCCACACTGCCTGCCTTTAAGGGCCATCGTTTTTACTATTTTATCAGAATTTCGAATGCAGCTCGCAGAGTAAGCATTGAAGAGGCTGTGCCGCACATCAGCGCATTCCAAGTAAGTCACCGGAAATTTCGAAGTTGTTCTGATGAGAAATTAATGAAAATCTTCCACTGCAATTGGGTTCCGGACAAGGTTAAATGACCGAGCCTAAAACGCTTTGAAGATTTCGACCACGGACACTCCCTTTTCCTCTCTCGTCGGTTCACTCTTTTAATCGAAGATCAACAGTAACTCGGTGGGAAAAAAGGGAAGAGAGAAAAAGAGTTAAACGATTGGCGCGGCAGATACAGATGGAGCGCACGAAATCAATTTTCTTGCTTGTTATATACGTATACTCGAAACTGTCCACTTCCGATCAGGAATGCCGCCTAATTGGCACATTAGTGAGGCTTATCGCCCATCGCTTTCTTGAAAGGCGGACAGTTGACGAAGAATGCGTCGAGTAGTTCAGCTTGGCTGTTAGCATTTCCAATTTATTAGCAAGATTTTGAAGGTTCGGCGTCACACCGGCTCTGGCGCGCAAGTCATTTTATAGAATTAATTCGTGAAGGAATAATGCAGTGGAATGAAAGGGTGCACCTCATTGATATGAGGTGCTCGTAGTTTTTACTCGGACAACGACATGCAGGGCTTGACAGAAGAAGGAAGAACATGTATACGCCGTTTAACAGCAACGACAAAGATACAATATATATATATATATATATATATATATATATATATATATATATATATATATATATATATATATATATATATATATATATATATATATATATAGCAGATTCTGAGAAGTATTGAACGCTGGGCAAGTGGGTAATGATTTATTGTTCGAGATAAACATCGCGAAAAACGAATACAGAGAAATAGGAAGACACAAGCTGATTCCTCCGGCATAGACACTGGTATAAGCCGGAAGTGAAAAGTGTCTTCCCAGAAATAGTGCTTATTGCGTAGTGACTATAAGAGTTTGTACAATGTATATTGTTATTTGGCAGCCATTGCACATTTTGACATGGTTGCATCCTCGTTGACGCCTAGTGGCACGTCTCCTTAAACCGTTATAGCGCGTTACGCTAAAAAGAAGAAATGGCCTGAGACCGACACAAGAGAACGGAGAGCGAACATGCACCTGAGCTTTATTCGCAAACTATATCAAATATGCAGACTTGCGCTAGCATGCAAGGAACATTCGAACGTATCGCCCAGATTAAACACCATGCACCACCACAACGTGCCCAACCAAAGATTCATAGACGGTTCCCCTGGTTAAGGGAAGACACTTCATTTTCAGATAAAGTCAACAAGTACTTTATGTTATAAAAGCAAAGCATAATGTTTTGTTTGGCGCAGTGATAAAGACAGCGGACAATTTTGTATTTTTTCCCGAGTGCTCAGCGTATAGAAAAGTAATCACAAAATCTTTTGTTGGTACAAAGACGCGCTATGAATGTCACTACAAAACCTTGTTCTTTTATACAGCGCTCTTTGTTTTATTCTTAATGCCTAGTTGGAGATATTAGGAAGTGTGTTGTTTAATCCTATGGGCTTTACGTCTCACCTTCCCCGTAAATATTGTGAGAGGCTAGACAAGGCGACAATGGCGTACTTCCTGAAACGACAAACAAAAAGAAAATGAAGAGCAGCTCACATCTATCTCATTTTAAACGTTGCCTTGGTTGCTATTTCGAGAACGAGGTAAAAATAGCTGTATACAAAGTAAACATATGACTGTAATACTTGGCAATCAAATTATAGCGAGAAAGTCAGCTTTTTCTAACTGCTGGAGTAAAGTCGTCATTAGGTAAGCCAGACTGGTATAATGACAAAGAAATTTTATGCAAGAGTTATCTCTAACCGAAAATTGGTGCCTGTTTTGAAGCTGGGCGTACTGCTGCGGATTAATGTAAGACGACGGTAAGAAACACGTGTGAACATTAATCTTCAGAATTTCGGCCCCAGATTCAGCCTTTTTTTTCTTTATGTCCTTCATTTTGGAGACAGTTTAGCAGGCGAAGTTACTTCAGAAAGGACTAATTGGAAAGAGCCTCCAGCTTTCTCCATTTACTTTCCTTTCCCCATTTTATGTATGACAATATCCGAAAACGACAGGACTAACTTCAGCCAAATGTTTACCTTTTGTCTTTTGATAACATCTGAGACGTACGCCGCACACCTGGCTTTCGTAGATATCTTTGTTCAAAGAACCGTCTTTAAGAAGTCATAACTATACCTACAAGTCAAGGCACTGTTGAACATGGACATTCTCACAAATACTTGTTTAAAAAGACGATATGTATACTGATTCCTACTGTGCCGACAGGAACACTGCAAGGTTCGCACTTTCTTTACCTCTGGTTTTCAGCGTGTTTGTTTTTATGAGGAATAGTGCTCTGTCTACCGAGTGGTAACAACAGAAACAGCGAAGGTGAGTGTTTCATATCTTGCTCTTTTTACGCAGCTTTGCTTGTTTTTCTCGGTTTTATTAATGAAAGTACGTACGTACATAACCACAAAACATCTTACAATTAAATTGTTCGTAAGATATTACATTAACGTAGAACGTAATATTACTGAAGTTGACTGAGGAATCACTACTAGCACTTTCTGAAAGATAGCCTTGGGAATTCTGGGACTGAGACGAATTCAAGAAGTTTTAAGTTTGTAAGAACTATTTTGCCACATGCCCGGGGCCTTCGCTAACGATTTGTCTAGTATAAGGATTCGTAAAAATTGCTTTTTGCTAAAGATTGTACTGGTAAAACCTTTATATAAATACGGGCTGTAGACTGTTAATTTCGTAAGATTTTATGTAGTTGCTGTTTACCTTGGCGAGAAAGAAAACAGTTTCTTTGTTGTTGCCGTCATTTCTTTCCCAAGCATAGACGAATTGCTAGGATAAACTTGTGAGGGACTAGGTCCGTTGCAGTATTATAGAGAATGGAAGCTTCTTCATTCCGCCTAGCAGCGTAGCATATTAGCCGCTAAGCCAATCAGGACAGATAGGCAACGTGCCTTATGTGAGAGAGAGATAACGAGAAAAGAAAGGCAGGAACGTTAACCATAAAATAGTATCTGCATGGTATGCTACTTTACATTGGGGTTGGGAAATAGGTGATTGGAAGAGAAAAAAGTCCACCTTATTCTGGTGCAGGAAATACAAGGCAGCTTCTACCAATGGCAAAGAACACGTCTTAACAAAAATATTTGCGAACGTGGGCCCGAGATTTTAGAATGAGCAGGAACAGCAAATTTTGCGACGGGAATAGCAGCAACACTGTGTTGACAAAACTCCTCTAAAGTGTACATTTTCGAGACATGATGAAATCGATGACTGCACCTGCCATAGATGGCTGACGGGGAGGGCGGTGTTTGTACATCTGCGTTCTACATGCATCGCATAAGCGAGATATGAAACGAGCATTAGTGGGGTACACGTGCCAATCGGATTACGTAGGCGTCGAGTGTTCAAATACGAGGCTTACGTATGAAGCTCACGGCTATGCAAGGCGGAAAAGTTTAAACAGAGCAAAGAATTTCAAAATCACTCGTGTGTGCGTTCCTCTTTTCGTAGCAACATCAATGGCACTCCGCATATTTCCAATTAAACGTGATTTACGAAAGCTTGCGCTATGTGTGGCAGTGAAATTTCGCGCTGGTAATTGAAACTTTCGCAATGTTTGATGGTCTGGACTAAGAAATCTAAACGCGACACGGGGCAGAACGTGAAAGATTTTGTTCTTAGCGTTGCTTATGTTTGTATATATATATAAACAGCATTGTTATAGTACAAGCTTGCTCAATTACGGCGGGCTAAATTGAAGTGATATGCCTTGATCAAAAAGTGCAGCGAGCCGTACACATTGTCTCTGGTTCTGCGTATTCGTTCTTGTAGAAACACCGCCACTAAACTTCATGAAAGCATGGCGAAACGAAAACGTCTCACCCTCGATATTTAAGAACATTGACGATTCATCGGCTACCGCCGTTGTGGAGCGATGGCCCGTCGTTGCGATCGAAGACACCCGGCTACAGTTCTCTTTTATGATGGTTTGTGGTGGAAAGGCTACTTTCAGTCTTTTTATGGGCTGTAGTTCTCTAAACTTGCTATCCATCCTAAAGAAAAAAAAACACAAAAAAACATATGAATGACACACGCACAACGAAACTCAAACTAAACTGTTCGCTTGTCCAAACGCGCCTCTCACGTCTTGAAAGTCTGAAAGCTTCGACTACGCGCGAAAAAAAAAAAAAAGAAGGCTTGCACTATTACCGAGATGTAGCGGCGCTTCAGAAGCTGCAAAATTGTAGTTATATATAACCGAATGAGACTGCCGCGGAGAAATGCTTCACCATAAAGCGACGAGTAGGCCCGTACACGTCAGTCTAGTTTGCATCGTGAAATAGAGAAAATAAGCGTTTATTGTCCAAAAACCGAATTTATCTGAAACCATATGGTCCAAGAGAAGGAAACAAAACAAAGAGATGCGTTTGTAGGACTATCTTGAGCATAACTTTATTTTTTCACATTTAAGGTATACCACTTGTTCTCTAAATGTGCGAATGCGTTGCGAATGTGCAATCTTCAATCAGTCAGAAGCCTATTTGCTTTAATGTTTTTTTTAAGAGAAACATTCTTGTTTAGTCACCCATCTGCAGGCCAACCATTTCTGGTTAGGATGCCGTCAACTGCAGAGAATCAGGCATGCGTATGTTGAAAGCAATGAGGAGAAATATACTCAAGTTAGACTACTGTAGTTAGTTCTGACAATCAATTACTTTCTCCGAGAAACAAATCACAATAATTGATTACCTCACAGAAAAAAGAAAGGTTAACACAATGTCACAACTATGTGAGGTGTGTCGCAATAAAATAAATATATACACGATGTTGTGTGACACACCCTGTCCTTGTGGTCTATAAACTGCCTTCAGAATGCCCACGGTTTTTATAGTAATACTATTATATGGGTTTTATCATCCCAAAACCACCACACGATTATGAGAGACGGCGTGGTGGAGGGCTACGAAAATTTCGACCACTTTGGGTTCTTTAACGTGCACCCAAATCTGAGCACACGGGCCTACAGCAATTTAGCTCTCACTGAAAGTGAAGCCGCTGCCGGGAATGTTCGATCCCGCGATCTGCGGGTCAGCAGCCAAGTGCCTTAGCCACTAGACCACCGCGGCGGGGCCCGTGGTATTTATATTATTGGAAACAGATGAAAGTTTAGAAGATGAAAAAAAAAAAACTGAACCTCCTGTGCTGGCGGGCTACTGTAGCTTTTCGCTTTATTTCCCTCGGTGCGTGGTGAACAGGAGGCCCTGCATGAATAAGCACCCGCTGCCATACGTGCCTGGACTATGTTCCCTCTCGGAACCTACTTAGCGTCTTTCTAAAAACAGGCCCGTGTGTGACGGCAAAACACCCGAACGATGTTGCGACGGCAGCCTTGGATGTACAGCCAGACATCCATGATTCAGCTCACACTGGCTCCACTAAAAGTATTCAATGCCTTATGAAGTTCGTATCTAGCGTCATCGAGCTCGAGGATGACGACCTTGGAGAGGGGGGGGGGGGTTGCGTGGCAAAAAAGGATTGTCAGTCCATCGCTCTTGAGGGCTCCCAAGAGAACTCTTAGATGCGCCCCAAAAATAGGCCCGACGCCAACAACAAATACTACGAGAGCGCGTACTACGAAGCACGCGCACCGGATAGACAAACACAGCGCGCAAGGCCGCGCGAAGACGGTATACGGCTGCCGGGCAGCATGCTCAACCCCGCGTCCATCTCTGACCGCGCCAACGAATATGTTTGCGCGTCCGCAACAAGCGCGCTGTCACCGAGGCCGCAGAGGCAGCGAGGCGAAAGCGGCATACGCGGCGCAGTCGAGCTTGCCTCTGGGGCCCCCGCGCGCCATCGCGTCACACTCTCAGGGCAGAACGATGGCCGCTCGTGAAATGACATAGGCGGCACAGCGGCACAGAAGTGCTCGCAAGGAAGAGGGACGGCGATGAATCTGTCTGGGAGAGGCAGTGAAGAACAGTTAGACGAGGAATAATCTCCCAGGAATGTGGCGCTGTTTACGCTTGTCTCGGCTTTCCTCGTCCATATTGCGTTCCCCGCGTGCGCTGCTCGGCTGGATCGGTTACCGAATAGGACGTACCTATCTTGAAAGAGAGACTCAGTGCGATGATGTCGGCGAGGCATGTTCGAAAAAAAAAAAAAAAAGTCGACACCGTGGTAGTGCCTGGAAACTAGCGCGAAAATGCGTCACAGAATTTTATCACGAATTTCGTTCTTCCACCGGCGGCGCATCCTCGTCTGCATTCTGTCTCTCTTCGCTCAAAACCATGCGAGGAAAGGAAGACCGCATTCCGAAGTGTTTCGGTAACACGGGTATATTGCGTCTGAATTTCCTCACTATAGCTCCCGCTGGAGACAGCATTGCAGGCCTGTATGCATGCATGCATGCATGCATGCATGCACGCACACACACACACACACACACACACACACACACACACACACACACACACACACACACACACACACACACACACACACACACACACACACACACACACACACACACACACACACACACACACACACACACACACGCACACACACATATATTACGATCAGCTTTGCGCAGCGTATGATATATATATATATATATATATATATACACTCACCATTCATGAATTCGCCAAGCGTCACTTTGTGGTGTTACAAACTGGCTGTTATCAACAAGTGGTTGTAATATTAGGGCGCCCCGCCGCGGTGGTCTAGTGGCTAAGGTACTCGGCTGCTGACCCGCAGGTCGCGGGTTCATATCCCGGCTGCGGCGGCTGCATTTCCGATGGAGGCGGAAATGTCGAGGCCCGTGTGCTCAGATTTGGGTGCACGTTAAAGAACCCCAGGTGGTCAAAATTTCCGGAGCCCTCCACTACGGCGTCTCTCATAATCATATGGTGGTTTTGGGACGTTAAACCCCACAAATGAATCAATCAATGTAATATTAGGGCGACGATTCACCGCAAATATTGCGGATATACCAACCAACGCGGGTCGTTATGGAGTTGCGCTGCTCAGCTCGAGATGGCTGATTTGATCTCGACCGCGACGCCGCATTTTGACTCGAGCAAACTGAAAAAAAAAAAAAACACCTGGGTTATCCAAATGAACTCGAACTCGGCGTGTGTCGTAATAGTACAACATTTTTGCGACGTAAAAACAACGTTACTGGTGAGTGGGCCATGCCCAAAAGTGTAATTTTTCATAGCGTCATCGATTTGATTGTGAGCTCCGTGCCCGGTAATGGTATCCTACGCATGGCACGCTTATACCGTGGTGTGCGGAGATTCGGCGCATGTGCCGCAGACTTCTCGCTTCATTGCTTGCGGTGGCGTACTCACGCAAAACTTAAAGCTGGTAGATGTCTGAAGTGATACATGTGCATAATACCGTGCATGAGCTAAAGAACACCATGCAAAGACTTCAGGGCGTCGGGTTAATTGCGTAAGCGAAATGCGACGTTGATTCATTACTTTGAGATGTGGTTCTCGCACAGGTAGAAAAAAAAAAGACACACACACCTCCGAACGAAAGGAGAGACAAAAAAAAAAAAACGAGCTCTATCTGTTTAATAAATTTTTTTCTGTATGTTTTTGCCTTACTTAGCGCCAGAAGCACATCTTGAAGTTATACAAACTCTGAAACTTTGAAATCCTCGCGAGTATGGACCGGGGTTGAAAGGCGTAGGTGCCATTTGCGTCTGCGAGAATCATCTTTGTAACCTAACACCCGCTGCGTCTGTCCTCTTTCAAAGAAAGTGAGCAGCGTTTTCATGAATAAAAGAAGGAATGTTCTCAGACGCTTTCCTTGAGTCAGTTGAATTTCAAGGAAGAAAAACTGCGCTCCTGCATGCTGCGTGCCGCAGGCTCACACAGCGGACAGTATTTCGGGACGCACTTCTGAGCAAGTATGGCCCACAACCAGTGAGAATGACGCTGTGATAAATTCTCGCCCGCTTTCTGCAGTGATGCCAGGGAAAAGTGGCCAGAAATTTTTGTTCCCTCTTTCTCTTCTCCCCTTACGTTTTTTTTTTTTTCGTGTGGCCCGAAAGGTTCCCTTCACCGGCCGAATCGGGTCATCGCTCAGAATTTAGAGAAGCTGACGTAATTTGAGTTCGAATTTGTTACGCTCGTGTTTTTTTCTAGAGACATGATTAAGTAGGCAACTTTACGCAATAGCAGTAGTAGTTTTCTAAAAATGGAGGCCGACTGCACATCGCGTAAGTAAACGAATGATAAGAAAATCAGATTGAAAAATAAAAGTGGTGCGACATTTTGCCTGGCAGCTCCCACAAGTACTGCACCGCCTTGCAAAGATCATATTTCCTGTTGTAGGAGGAAAAAAGTAAATCGATAATTGGGTCGACGTGAGCATTTCCACGACGATGGTTTTAATGAACCACTTGAGTTTCGTGTCATGGCTTAAACATAATCTTCAATTAGACTCTCTTAGGCACTATTAATGTTCTTCTTCGTAACACGTAGTAAATGAATAGACCTTTCCTATAGTACACATATATAACGATTATTTTGGTCATAATATGTATGAGCAAAAAGCGTCATTGCTACAGACGCTAACGTTCAATGAGATTTGTTTCGCATTTGCTTTGCGTAGCAAACAGAATATAACCTTAAGCAATTATTGAAATACTGCCAGTACATGTTGGTATTACAGCTGGAGGGCGTATGCGAAATAGTAAATGCATATTTGTTGCAATTTTCGGGAACGTCGTGCAGATTCGTATTGGATACAGGGTCGTCTGCCCGTAAAGCAATAGAACTGGGCAGGGCAAAACAAAACAAACAAAAAAACCTATTTATTCGATTGGCACATGTGATTAAAATTCTTCAAAACAGTTTACTTCGGCATCGTTACACAGCTTCCGATGTGAATCCCACGCTTCGAAGGCTACCTGACAGTCGGCTGCGGTGACCTCTATCGGAGACTCTGTCAGAGCCACTTGTATGGCAAAAACACCGTGGAAACAGTGACATTTGAGGCTTGTCTTTAACATTGAGAACAGGATGAAGTCTGCCGGGCTTACATCAGGGCTGATGTATGCCTCTGATACATCCCTGATGTGAGCCAGGCAGCTTTGTACGGAATGGAAAGTTGGGCTAGTCAGTATACTTGCATAATTGATGCGGTGCGATAACACGAAGACGTAAAGATGTTGACCAGCGCCCGTCCTGGTGCACTCTGTTCTGTACGTCATCGCGTTTTCGCACTGCATCATTCATGCAGTTTTGTAATGTGCGATTATTTTTTTTTCTTTTTTTTGTGCCATGGCAAGGGAAGACTTTTGAAACCACAGACCATTCCACGACGAAAAAATATGAGTAGTGTTGCCAGATACTAGATTTTTCTGTAGAAACCAAATTTCACCAAATTCAACAAAACACAGCCCTAAGTTGCATGCCATCTTACCATTATGTTCGGTAAAAACACAATTGAAGCAAATTATTGGAGCACTGGCAGCGCTAAAGGTTTTTTCAAGTGTAGCTGAGTTTTCCCCTTTCGATCTTATGGAAAAAAACGTAGTCCTCCTATAGTTTTAAATGAGCCCCTTCTGTGAAAAAAACAACTGTGAAGTGCGTTAGTGAAGAAGCTGTTCCTGGTGGACTTGTTTTAAGTCGTTTCTTGTCATTGATTTGTCGCTTATTTATTATTGTGAAAGCAATTTACGGGCACTCTCGGCCAGATTTTGCCGCCAGCGTCTGCGTCACCGTCACTGTATATGTATACGTATCTATATATATGAATATGCAAGAAAGAAAAAAAATCAGTAAAAGACTCTGGCGCGTGGAATTGAACTTGGATCCTCGGAATGGAGAGTGCGAGGCGTTAACCACTGAGCCACCGAGGAGCACGTCCTTCAACAATCAAACGGTAAGCTATCCATATCTACCACTTACTGCTGCAGACGGGCACCTCGGGGGGAGGGGGGGCGTACTACTGTGTTCTCAGCATTGCCAGCAAGATGGTGCTATGAGCGCGCGTAGAACAACATCACAACGCGGCGGCCACGCTTTCATCTCCTACGCGTATTTTGCCCCGCAAGGAGCAGGGTGTCGATGCTCCTCGCGTGCCCTTATCTCGTGTGATCGCACATCATCGCCGGTGTTCGGCTTTTGCTGAAACGATTGTGTTTTAGTTACCGGGCGCACAAAGGTCACTTTAGCCGTTTGCGAAAAGAGCGCGCTTTTCAGACACAGCGAAATAACATCTGAGACGCTCATTCGCATTTATCTGTTACTGAGAGTACGTTTTATGCGTCATTTGTGTGTGAAGGCCTTTCACATGACACAAAAAGTAGCGATTTTCAGGCTACGAATTCGCTCGCAGCGAAAAAAAGGGCAGTTGTGCTCCCGCCGCAGCGGTCCTCGGCGAGCTTCCAAGATGTTGGAAATTTTCGCTCTGATAGCAGCGGCGGGAACGATTTTTGGTCGAGACCCATTGAAATAGGGCTGGTCCGGCCAAGCCGTCGAAATATAGTCGACGTGTTTGTTTTGGTAATGGCCGATGCTGTGCATTTTAAAATGAATTTAGACGGGAAAGTGTTCTTAAACGACAAAACAAGTGGGCCCTTCGTTACCGCTCACGGAAACTTCATGGTATCTAACGTGGTTGCTTGGGCGAGTTGGTACGACATGATTCACTTAAAAAACTTCGATTGCGCTATCACTAAAAGAAATAGATTTCCTTCGGAACGTTAGCACACGTGTTGTTCATGGTGCGTTGTGTAGATGACTACGTGGTTGTTAGGTGGATTCTGTTTTTGTTTGTTTTCTATTTCTCTTTTTTGTCAGATGCTGCCCAAGTATATATTGTGCGGTTCTA